GCCCCTTATTTCTAAGTTTGCCTGTCTGTACTCCCATGGGACTGACTATATGCTCCTCGGGAGCAGGATGACTGTTTAGTTCCTGTCTTTATTTTTTGGTGCCTTGAACTAGTACCAGGACAAATCAAAGCTCGGAGGAATGAAGGGGTTAGTTATTTCCTCCTTGATATCCACCTCTTTCCCAGCTCTTTGTGATGCACATTGAATTATCTGTTGATAATCTATCTTCTCCATCATGCCATGAATGCACGGGGAGACGAGACGTTCGTTTTATTTTTCTCCCAGAAATAAAGATCCTAACACACAGCAGTGTCTATAAATGTTTATGCATAAAATAGAATGAATGGACCCTCCTCCCGCGCTACAGTCTCCCTCACCCCGCCACCACCCCAAATGCAGGTGGGCATCCCTGCAGATCTAGCGGTGGCCTCCAGGAGGCGCCCTCCTCTCGGAGGTGCTGGGAACGGCAGGCGCCCCTTCCTGGCAGGCGAATGGGTTAGTTACAGCCCTGAGCAAAGAGATGGGGACGGCACGATTGATGCGCCGCTTCCCCCACGGACGCGCAACTTGCGTCAGGGATGCATCTCCTTTCTGTTCTTCTGGGCCTCGGTGCCAACGTTTAAGGAACGTTAATTGAGGGTGGGTTGTGGGAGGCTGCCATCTTCCGGTGCTCCTTGGGAGATGCTAAGCCTCTGCTGCTGGCTGTGACAGCTACAATATGCGCACATACAAAATGTTCTTTATCTGTCATCAGATGATAACAGCAAGTGCGAGGCATGTCTAGCACTATCCTATGTTCTTTATACATCAACTGAAAGGCGCATAATAAGATAAAAAAGTATAAATTCCCATCTTGTTAGAAAAATTAGATGCAGTGGGATTGAATTCCTCACAAGATGTCCCTCGCTTAGCAATAGCAGAGGCAAAGTTAGAACCCCGGCAGTTTGTACCTGAGTGTTCAGCAGGCTCCCAGCTATCCACAGCCACCTGCCGAGGGACCACTGAGCTGTCTTGCCAGCTAGGACCCAGATAGCCAGAAAACAATTTTAAAGGCCTACTATGTTCCAAGTGGCTTGCTTTGCATTGAGTATCAGCAGGTAAACAAGTGTCCCCTCCTGGAACATTCAGACTGATAGGGGAGACCAAAATGTTGGGAGAGTGATGTGGCCAGTGGGAATGATGGGCAGAGTGGCAAGTGCCTGGGAAGGAGCCAGAAAAGGAGGTGCCAGCCTTTTCTCTGTCTTCCCAGGCAGCCAACCTGGCTTCCTCCTGCCACTACTAGTGCATTATAGTTATACATAATATTGGGCATCATTGGACATGATTATACAAGCATGAAATATAGTTGATGCTAATTTCATCTCTAGTACTCCTTTTCCTCTGCCTGTCCCTTCTCTGTTTCCTTTCCTCTGTTCTACTGGTCTTCTACTTATTTATAGTTTTTTGATTAGTGCTTTATGGATATACATAAAGGTGAAATTCACTGTGGTATATTTATATATGTACATAGGATAGTTTGGTCAATTTCATTCTAGTGTTCCTCCCTTTTCCCATTCATTCTCCCCCCCACCCAATCCCTTTCTTCTACTTCACTGATCTCACTTCTATTTTTATGGGGTCCCCCCACTATTTCCTTTATTTTTCTCTTTTTGGGGAGCTTGTGAGCAAGTGATATAATCTGTTCCCCCCCCCTTTTGGTAAAATCAGGATGATAATAATAGCTTCCCCATTTGAGAGATAACATTTGACCCTTGATTTTCTGAGTCTGGCTTATTTCACTGAGTATGATGACCTAGTTTTATCCATTAACCAGAAAATGCTATAATTTCATTCTTTTTTTTAATGGCTGATTAAACTCCATTGTGCACATATCATACATTTCCTCTATCCAGCCATCTGTTGACAGGCATCTGGGCTGGTTTCATAAGTTGACTATTGTGATCTGTGCTACTATAAACATTGATGTGGCGATACCACTATCATATGCTGATTTTAATTCTTTTGGTTAAGGGAATGGGATAACTGGGCCATATGGTGGTTCCACTCCTAGTTTTCTGAGGAATGTCTATACTGATTTCCGAAGTGGTTGTACTAATTTGCAGTCCCACCAACAATGTATGAATGTAACTTTCCCCCCACATCCTCACCAGAATTTATTATTATTTGTATTCTTGCTAATGGCCATTGTGACTGGAGTAAGAAGAAATCTCAGTGTAATTTTGATTTTATTTTCATGATTGTTAGAGTTGTTGAACATTTTTTCCATGTGTTTTTTGGTAATTTGTCCTTCTTCTTTTGAGAAGCGTCTGTTTAGTTCTTTTCCCCATTTATGAATTTTGTGTGTGTGTGTGTGTGTGTGGTATTAAGTTTTTTGAGTCCTTTATGCATTCTGGATATTAATCTCCTGATTGAGACATTAATGGCAAAGATCTTCTCCCATTCTGTAGTCTTTCTCATTGTGCCGGCTTTTTTGCTGGGCAGTACCCTTTTAATTTGATGCCATCCCACTTATTGACGTGGTTTTATTTCTTGTGCATTAGGAGCCTTGTTATGAAAGTTGGTACCTGTACTAAGATGTTGGGAGTGTTGAGCCTACATTTTCTTCTAGCAGTTGAATTAGACCATTTCTGGTCTAATTCCTAGGTGTTTGATTTACTTCAAGTGGACTTTTGTGCAGGGTGAGAGATACCATTTTTACCCCAGTCTTATTATTGACTTTTCTTTTTGGCAGCTGGTGCTCTGGTCTTTGTGCTGGAAACCTGTCTGTGCCCTAGTCCCTCTAGGGCTTGGGTAAACCCCCAATCCCTACCAGTCCAGTCTTGTCCCCAAGTCCTTGCATGGTGGTTGGAATTCTTGTCGTTAGTGATCAACTTCTCTTGTGCTTCCTTCCTGCTTAGGTTTCTGAATAACAGGGATTGTGCTTCTCTTGCTTATTGGACTGTTACCAGTTAGACCCCTCACTCCCATCTTCCCATGCTTTCCCATCCCCATGTTGGCCCCATCATCAACAGTTTGAACTTGCCTGATCCTCCAGTAGGCTCTGCATTCCTAGGCCCTGGCCCAGCTTTTCCATCTATTCTACCTCTGAAACCCTCCTTACCTGCTGGCTTAATCACACCTCTGCCTCCCCTCCAACAACTGCTGGTGTCTACAAGACCAACAGACTCTAGACTCTCCTTTTCCTCTGATAGTTTCTCAGGCACAAGAAGTCAAGTGTTCCCAGGGTCACTCAGGGCTAAAAATAAGAGTCCACAGCTGCCCAGGGTCCCTGGGGACATGTGACCTCATCTCAGCCCTAGAGCAGGCTAGCATCTTTTCTTTACCTCTCACCAGACTGGGCAGTTGAGGCTTGGTCTTGGAGCTGGCTGTGCTAGAGGCGAGCTTTTCAGCCACAGCACTGCTGTTACGATGGACCGGGTGATGCTTGCGTCTGGGCTGTACCCTCTAGATGCCAGAGGCACCCTACCCTCAGTTGTGGTGGTGAAACCATCTTAACGTTGCCAGTCACCCCAGTACCACTTACACAGAACATAGGGTTGGGGGGTCAAGTGGCACTAGAGAAAGGATCATGCTACAGTGACATCCCAGCAGAACTCGATGAAAGGGACATCCTCCCTGTAGCAGGGGTTGAAATGACCTGAGGAACAGGAAATGCTGACTGAGAGGGTCTCCTTGCAAGTGGAGCTCCATCTTTGGGGACATGAGGCCCTCTATGTCACAGTCATTTCCCTGTTTCTAATTCTGTTCCTCTCGTCCCACGTGGGTTTCACCTCTTCGCCTTCTGAGAAATCACAGCATTCTTGTCAAGGAGTCTCAAGGTTTTTCTAGTCACTGAGTCTCAAAAATTGTTGTGGGTAAAGGTTTCAAGAGAAGGTGGCTGAGAACCAAACAGGAAGTTCTGAACCCGCTTGAGTTCTCCTTTCCTTTCTACCCACAGTTAGGAGTAGATGAGCACATACAGACGCTTCCAGACCTGTGCAGATCAACCCATCTTAAATTTATTTATTTATTTTTAATATTTTTATTAATTGTTGATGGATCTTTATTCTATTTACTTATCTATTTATATATGGTGCTGAGAATTGAACTCAGTGCCTCACACATGCTAGGTAAGAGTGCTACCACTGAGCCCCAGCCCCAGCGCCCCCATCTTAAATTTAAAATACCCTAAGTTGAAAATGCATGTCATGCACCTGACTTACTGACCATCACAGCTTGGCAACACAGTCCACTGCAGGGTGGGGGCTGTTCCCCCATGATGGCTTGGTTACTGGGAGCTGGGGCTCACTGCTGTGGCCCAAATTGCAAGTCTGTTGTAGTGCATATCGCTGGACCAAGAAAAGATCAAATTAAAAAACTGCAGTACCTTTTCTGCTGAATACACATTACTTTTATACCATTATAAAGTTATGTATATATATATATTGGGTCCTATGTCTAAATTGTGAAGCATAATAATAAAACACATATTTAGAAAACTACAACTCAACTAAAGGCCTGGAACATGACGATGGTTAACTTGTTGCTCCCTCTCCACCCAGGACAAGTGCTCCCCTAACTCTTTGCGGTCTCTTCCTGCTCCACTGGACCTTGCCCCTAGAGCTTCCTTATGCATATTGCTATATTACAGTGTTGTTAACTCCTGCCCTAGAACTTTCTTTCCACCCTGCACCTGTCCAGTGGTTCAGTGCAGGCTCAGAGGCAGGAACTGGACAGGGAGGTCACAGTCCTCTCTCTGCCTGTTTAAGGGGCCTTGGGCAAGTCACTCATCTCCATACTAAAATCACACAGTCCCCTTGAGCTCTTATCCCCTTGGGCCCCCTTTGGTTGTTGTAAGAACCTACAGATGTTGAGTTGACACACCATGAGATGCTATCTTAGCACCAGGCTAGTGATTGACAGAACTGGGTTGCAAGACTAATGTGCCACCCAGGAGAGCTGGGAGGGGAAGTGTCACCAGGTGCCACGCCCTGTGAGTACACATGCCCTTTGCTGGCACTTTGACAGGAAGGAGCCTCAAGATTTCTGTCGTGGCCTCTGCCTTTCCAGGTGTTGTATAACATCGTTTTCCTCTATGCCAAGAAGGAGAAATGGAAGAAGGCCGAAGAACAACTCACACTGGCCACCAACATGAAGTCTGAGCCCAGGCACTCCAAAATCGACAAGGCGATGGAAAGCTTCTGGGTAGGTGTGTCGGGAGGGGAGGTTTCCACAGTTCTCACTGTGTCAGGGCTGTCTGAGTCTGGGCAGCCCTGCTCCACGCTCAGCATGAGGCCATTTAAGCTCTTGAATCTGGGCCGAGAAGCCAAGGACAAGAGCACAGGGTGGCAGAGCCCTTGAACCTCTTGGCACCCCTGGGTGGTAGGATGTTGGAGGCTGAGCAGTGCTGTAAGGGCAGAGGCTGCTTGCTTTTGAGTCCTAGCAGCCTGGCACAGAGCCAGGTACAAAATGGCCCTCCACAAAATGTCTTGATTACAGGAATAAATGGTAAAAGTGAATGATAGTCTGAGCACATTGGGAATGAAGTTTTAAATAGGATTTTTTTGGTGGGACAGGTACTGGGGATTTAATCCAGGAGCACTTCACCACTGAGCTACATCCCCCAGCCCTTTCTTTCTATTCTTTTCTTTTTTTCTTGTTTTTTTCTTTTTAATTTTGAAACAGGGTCTCCCAAAGTTGCTTAGGGACTCTCCTTTTCCTCCGATATACCAGTCTGCTACTGGCTTTGCTTCCTTTCCCATCCCAGATACAATCTAGCTTGATCTCTTGAACCCTTTACTTGCTGGTTTCCTCAACTTTTCTGTCTCCTTGTAAACAGCTGTGCTGGACGACATCCCTGGCTGGATCAGCTTTCTGTCCTTCACCTGGGATGCTCAGGGGTGCTGCAGTTCACACAGTTGATGGGTTGTTGCCAGGCTGGACTGGCTACCTGACTTGTGGGGACCAGTGTGAAATGAACGTGTAGGGCTCTTGTTTAAAAACTTCAAGAATTTCAAAATGGTGACCGCAGGTTATTAAACCAAGTGAGGAATGCTTTTAAGCATGGGTTCTTGTGCTTGATCATAAGTGTGGTCCCCACCTTCACACAGCATCCAGGACTATGCATGTGATCATCCTGGAGTCTCAGAACTGCCGACTCCTCTGCCCTCCCCATGGGCCTGCCACCACTTCTGTCCTTAGTTATCCACCCCCACCCCCCACCTCATGTGCATGCTGGCAGGCCCTCTCATGTGAAAGGGAAAGGTTGGGGTTCCCACCATGTGAAAGCCACCAGGAGCAATGTGGCATTGAAGCCAGATTTAAAGATAGGTAGTTAGTGTAGTTAGGTAAATCGGGTCTAATATCGAGTAAAATCGAAAATGAAGGCCAGAATGAAGGCCATATTGAGAAAGGAGCCCAGGAAAGCAGAGCAGCACTTGGGGAAATTGAAATGTTAATGTTCCCAAGGCCCAGAGCCCATTCTAAGGCAATGTTAATGAAGCAGCTCCCAGCAAACAGGGAAGTGCTAATAGAAAGCCTCCCCAGGCCCTTCCTGCCCAGATTACTCCTCTGGCCCATCTGTCCCTCACCTTTGGGCTTTCCCACCTACATTCTAACACTGCAAGATAACAGAACAAAGGACAGGACTGCGGGAAAGCTGAATGAAGACCTTAGCTATAAAAGAGGGAAGACCTCCCCCTTCCATGGATTCACCTCTTGGGTCCCCTTCTTCCTCCCAGAAGAAGTCTTTTCTGCTGTCCTTTAATAAAGCTTCTACTTTTTACTCTAAACTTGCCTCTGAGTGCTTCTCTGGTGTTATACTTCTGCATCTGGGAAGTAAGGACTGGTAAACAGCGGTAACAGCATGGTAGACAAGGACCCAGAATCTCTGTTATCAGTGGTCCCTTCTGAGGCTGGGTCTTCAGCTGCACATAGGATGATAAAACTACCCAGCTTTTCGAGAAGCAAAAGTCACTCGGCTATTCTCCGACAATACCTTCTTACTTGAACTTCATCTTCTATTTCTGAGGGCAGGAGCGGGAGAGGATTTTGTTCCCCTTGCTCAGTGCTAGCCCCGTGCTCCCTGGGCATCCCCCACTATTTCTTTGCCCAGTGAAACCTTTAACACCCTCGGGGTCCTGGTCTCATAGGTAAGGTTACCGTGGCACTGAGTTGAGACACACAGTTAAAAAGCTAGTCAGATCCTTGCATTTGAATCCAAGGATCTTACTCTTCAACACCTGAATAGGACAGTCCCCAAACTTCTCCTAATGACAGAATCCTCTGCCTAGACTCCAAACTGGCCAAAGTAGTGATAGTGGTACATTAAGAGATGAAAACATCACTCAGAACCCCTAAAAAAAAGGCCTTCTCCAACAAAGAGTGACTTCCAAGCATCTCTCCCTGAAAAAAGAAGGCCAGAAACCACTGGACCCTACCTGGCTTAAAGGGTTGTGCATTGATATCAATATCCACAGGTTCAGGAAGGGAGCTGGAAATAATGAGGATAACCACTTTTCCACAACTGCCCCCCACAAGGCCCTTTCCAGTGCCAGGTCTGTAGCATCCAACTTTCAAAATATCCCCCATCCCTTACACCACAGGTCCCTGTGGTGGTGGTGGTGTGGCATACTTTTTAAAAATAATAATTGTTAGAGTTATACTCTGAAATATTAATGGGGGAATCAAAATGGCACTTGGGGATTTTTCTTCAACTAATATGGTGGGTGGTGGCGGTGTTATATAAAACAAGACTGAATGTGAATGGTTGCTCTGTCTTGCTGATGGGTGTATGTGAGCTTGCTGTACTATTTTACCTATGTTTGCATTTATCTGAGTTTCTCTGTAGTAAAAGATTTTTAGCAGACTGTGGTGGCATATGCCTCTAATCTCAGTGATTTGGGAGGCTGAGGCAGGAATGTGAGTTCAAAGCCAGGCTTAGAGAGACCCTGTTTCAAAATAAAATATAAAAATGGCTTGGGATGTGGCTCAGTGGTTAAGCACACCTGGGTTCAATCCCCAGTACCAAAAAAAAAAAAAAAGATTTTTAGAAATAGACATGAAAATGGAGGACAGTAAACTCAAGAGCTCTGTGTATATTAGAATGGGGGAGGGCAACATCTTTGCTTTTCTAAACCTTGCAGTGACAGTTTATTCCAAGAACAATGGGTTCCAGTTTCTAGTTTTTCTGCTCTGAGCTCCAGCCACAGAAGTATTAGGCAGTCACTGCTCATGGAGGTGTGGGTCCCAGCTTTGCTGGGCCCTTCTTCCAAACTTCTAAGAAATTAAAACTCCAGTTTCATCCCTTTGTTCTCCAGCTCCAGAAGTGGGGCTGCTTCCTACAGTTACTGTCTCTGTGTTGATTTTCCTGATATTCCCCTTTGCCTTTTCAATTTCCAGTACCTGCTTAACCAATTGCCTAGATTAAATTATTTGTTGAAATAACTGGTGTGGTTTCTGTATTCCACAGCTTGATCTGCCTGATGATGCATGCCCTTAGAAGCACTGCCTGAGAAACACATTAGGGTGTAGCCATACCTTGTTGGCCTGCTCCAAAGATCCCAATCTCAGAAACCTGCCAGAAGCTCTACCAAGTCAACTTCTATGGTAGAGAACTTGCCGGTCACAGGAGAATCCCCTAATCTAAATCAATGTTTATAAGCAGAAGAGGAGGGTTTAATTTGCGAAAGCCAGTAGGGACTCTAAATCTTTCCATCCCAATCAAAGCTGTCAGAACCAGTTAGCATCAGAACCAGTCAGATGTCCCCCAAATTGCTATTTCTCCAGCAGCTTTCCTGTCACCAAGGAAACCACACATTGGTGCACAGGGGCCCCAGGAACCAGACTGTAACTGAGTTGCCTGGTGTGTTTGTCATTATCAACTCTGCCAAAGCACAGTATCTTTTGCAAGAATGATTCTCCTGCCCCAAACCCCTGCTGTCTTCTGTTTCCCAAACCGAGAATACTTCCACCTTCAAGAAAGACATGTGCTGGCAGGCATGACAGGCAATGGCAGGAGTCACTTGTTTACTCAACAACAAATAAAGCAGATTATCTTCTGCATTGGCCTTGGGACTGGCCCACACAAATTAGATGGCTTAAACAATAGGAATGAGTTGTCTCATAGTTCTAAAGGCTAGACATCTGAAATTGCCATGTTAGTAGGGCTGATTTCTTTTGAGGGTTCTGAGGGAAGGATTCTCCTGGGTTTGTAGATGGCTGTCTTCTTGGTCCTGTGGGATTCTTCTTATCTGCGTGTCTGTCTCCATATTTCTCCTTGTTATAGGGACACCAGTCATATTGGATTAAGGTTCATACCAATTTTTTTTTTAAATTTTACACTTCGTTTTTACTTAATCATCTCTCTCAAGACCTTGCATGCAAATAAGGTCACATTCTGAAAAACTGGGGGTTAGGACCTCAATGTGAAATTTTTGGGGACATAATTCAGTGCAGGATTAATATTCCTGAGAATTGAGGGTAGAGGATTCTCCAACCCCTCAGATAGGAAAAGTCTTCTGGATAGACAAGAAAATCCTTCTCAGTAGAAAAGTGTTGGACTTCTTTGAGTCAAGTCCTGAGTAAATTTATTCTAAGGTCTCCAAGACAGGAAGATAAAATAAAAACAAAAAGGAGTTACCATTGAAGGAGATGTGCTTTGCTAGTTTCTAGTGGCAGAAATAACAGTGTAGTTCCAGTGGCCAAGGTCACCCTGGTTGCCTTCTTCAGGGGTAGCGGCAGAGGCAGAGTGGGTTCTGAAAGCAGAAATACACAAGCATCTTCAAATGATGTTCATGCTGCAGATTTTTTTTCAATCCTGGCAACTATGAAAAATTTTTTAGGGAGTTTTGTTTACAAATTCTGCTGACAATGAAGTTCTGTAGGAAAGAAAGTTTAATGGAACTTATTAGGTAAGTTAGTGGGGGGACTGTTTTGTACATCTCCTTGTCTTGGACAATGGACTACCCAAAGAAATGGAGTGGGCAAAGAACCAGGTAGGTGATATCATTTAACTCTCCCCAAACTGTTTTCTTAGCTTCTTCTTTTCAGTCCTGACCACCTTAATAATTTCCCAGCAGTGATGTTTGTGTACCCTCTCCCTCAGACTCGTTTGTTAAAGCCCTAATCTCTATTGTGGCTGTATTTGGTGAAAATTTCTTTTTTCTTTTTTAAAAATATTTATTTTTTTTTTTTTAGTTTTTGGCAGACACAACATCTTTGTTTGTATGTGGTGCTGAGGATCGAACCTGGGCCGCACGCATGCCAGGTGAGCGCGCTACCACTTGAGCCACATCCCCAGCCCTGGTGAAAATTTCTTGACAGAAGTAGTTAAGGTTAAATGGGTAATGAAGGTAAGGCCCTGATCCTAGAAGACTGGAACCCTTATAAAAAGAGATAATGGAGAGTTCTTTTTGCCTTTCTCTCTCTTTTTGTCTGAGCGTGCACAAGGAAAAGGACATGTGAAGACACGGCAAGAAGGCAGCCCTCTACAAACCAGGAAAAGTCCTCCCCTGAAACCAAATTGGTTGACACTTCAAGTTTGGACTTCCCAGCCCCCAAAATTGTAAGCAATAAATTTCTGTTGTTTAAGCCACCCAGTGTGTAGTATTTTGGTATAGCAAATCAAATGGACGAATGCAATTAATTTAAGTTATGTCTTCCCCATTAGAAGGCAGAAACCATGCATCTCTATTTCCCCAAACACCACTATGCCTGGCATAGTAGCTTTCATATGGCAGGCACTCAATATTTGTTGAATGAACCAATGATTAGAAAAATCAATGGGGGCATGGTAAGTATTATTATGCTTATTTTAATGTGGAGAAAATTGACAGCTATGAAAAGATACTTAATACTCACAATCTTGGGACACAAATGCATTTCCTAAACTAAAATTAATTGAAAGTGGACCAGGGCCATATAACATCCTCATTCACAAAACACATTAAGACTTGTTTTAGTTGCTGAGGGAGGAAGGTTGTATTATCCTCTGCTGTCTAGTGTTCTCTCTTTCTAATCAGGATCAGAGATTTGCCAATCCACATCTTGTTCCTCATAATCAATGCTCTCAGAGTCAGCAGATAGATATAAAGCTAGAGGAATTTTTTTTTTTTTGCTAAAGGCAAGGTGAGGTACATCAGAGGATGAGTATTTGGCATCTCTGAGAGACCTCACAGGGTGGCACCACTTCTGTCCAGGGTCTAGTCTCTGCCCTGCAGGTTTAAAAACTGGATCTGTCAGCAGACTGAGTGCACATCCATCTCTCAGCTTTAATTAATTAAGCATGAAGAACTGATGCATGAAACCAGCATGTCAATTTATTGATTCACAAGAGGACTGGAACTGCCTCTGTGTCTGGAATGCTTGTCTCTTCTCACATCATCTTCCACTGAAGACAGACCTCTAAGGAAGGTAAATATCAGAAAGTTGCTCAGTGAGTAACTTCATCCCCAGATGAAGGGAACTGGATGGCTCAAATGTTTAATGGCAGTGAACTGCCATTTTTACTTTAAGAATAGTCTTTCTAACGGCAAAAATAATTCAAAACCATTGTCTGAGGCTCTGTCTGCAGAGGGCACTTCTTCAATAGGTATTTTCCTCACAGTGACAGAAGCTAACTAACAAACCATCTTTTACAAATAGGTACCTGAAATCATCTCATACAACTCATATATGACACTGGTTCTGAACTCAAAGTATTTGTGGGTTTGTACCAGCCAGCTTTAGGCAGCCCATAAGGGCTTCAACTATTTTAAGAATGGAATGGTCATCAAAACTCTCCAGAGCTGGAGCTGTGGCTCAGCGGTAGAATGGTTGCCTTGCATGTGTGAGGCATTGAGTTCTATCCTCAGCACTACATAAAAATAAATAAAAAACAAAATAAAGGTAAAATAGGTAAAAAAAAATTAGATTAAAATACACATTTTTAATAGAATAACTTCTCCAAAACAAAGATTAAATGAGTGGATTTTTAAAAACAATTTTGCAAGTCTCTTGAACATTTGGCTTAATAGAACATAGTAGATTCTCACGTCTGCATTGTTTTCAGTCTGTTACCATATCACACACCGTATAGCCTCTGGAAAACTCTACCTCATACCTTTGAGAGAATGAGAGAACAAGGCCATAACATCTTATACTAGCTTTCTAGGGGTGCCACAATGAAATACCATGAACCAGGTGGCTTAGAACAGATCCTTATTCTCTCATCATGGAGGAGGCCAGAGGTTCAAATCAAGATGTCAGCATGATTGGGTTCTTCTGTAGGCTCTGATAGACAATCTGTTTCTATGCCTCTCTCCTAACTCTTGGTGTTTGTCAGCCATCCTTGGCTTGTGGCTTCATCACTCCATTCTTTCTGTCTTTTTTTTTCCCCCAAATTTAACTGGATATTCTGTGGTTTTATTTTTTTATTTTTTAAATTTGTTTTAATTAGTTACACATGTCAGTACAATGATCTTGACATATACAATTGAATCAGATGGAATATAATTTCTCATTTTTCTGAGTGTACAGGTTGCAGAATTATATTGGTCATGCAGTTATGTATATACCCACAGCAATAATAATGTCTATTTTATTCTGATGTCCTTCCATTCCCCCCTCCCCCTCCCCTCCCCTCCCATCACTTCTCTCTACCCAATCTAATGTGGCACATTTCTTTTTTTTCCCCTCACATCGTCATACCTGTATTCTGTAAATTTATATTAAAAACAAACAAACACACAAAAAAAACCTCTCCACATTCTCCAGAGTTGCTTGCATGAAACAGATGGGAATATTTATACACAAATTTTACAAAAGCAAAAGACAAAGTCATTGGCTTAGAGTAAGAATTTCTGAATTTTTTATTTTGTTTTTATTATTATTTAGGTATTTATTTATTCTAATTAGTTACATGACAGCAGAATGCATTTTGATTCACAGTACACAAATGGAGTACAACTTTTTATTTCTCTAGTTGTACACAAAGTAGAGTCACACCATTTGTGTCTTCATACATGTACCTAGGGTAATGATGTTCATCTCATTCCACCATTTTTCCTACCCCTGTGCCCCTCCCTTTTTCTTCCTCCTCTTTGCCCTATCCAAAGTTCCTCCATTCCTCCCATGCTTTCCCCCACCCCCATTATGGACCAACATTCACTTATCAGAGAAAACATTTGGTCTTTGTTTTTTTGGGACTGGCTTACTTCACTTAGCATAATATTCTTCAACACCATCCATTTACCTTCAAATGCCATGATTTTATTCTCTTTTAATGCTGAGTAATATTCCATTGTGTATATATACCACAATTTCTTTATCCATTCATCTATTGAAGGCATTTAGGTTGGTTTCACAATTTAGCTATTGTGAATTGAGCTGCTATAAACATTGATGTGGCTGTGACCCTGTAGTATGTTGTTTTTAAGTCCTTTGGGTATAAACCGAGGATTGGGATAGCTGGGTCAAATGGTGATTCCGTTGAAAGTTTTCTGAGGAATCTCCATACTGCTTTCCAGATTGGTTGCACCAATTTGCAGTCCCACCAGTAATGCAAGAGCCCCCCACATCCTCACCAAAATTTATTGTTGCTTGTATTCTTGATAAATGGCATTTGACTGGAACGAGATGAAATCTTAGAGTAGTTTTGATTTGCAATTCTCTAATTGCTAGGGATGTTGAACATTTTTTCATATATTTGTTGATCAATTGTATATCTTCTTCTGAGAAGGGTCTGTTTAGTACCTTAGCCCGTTTATTGTTTGGGTTATTTATTTTTTCAGTGTTAAGTTTTTTGAGTTCTTTGTATTCCTGGGATTAGTGCTCTGATGTGCATGTGGTACAAATTTGCTCCCATTCTGTATGCTCTCTCTTCACCTCACTGATTGTTTCTTTTTAGTTTGAATCCATCCCATTTATCAGCTCATTATTTTATTTCTTATGCTTTAGGAGTCTTGTTAAGAAAACCGGGGCCTAATCCAACATGATGAAGATTTGGGCCTACTTTTTCTTCTATTAGGCGCAGGGTCTCTGCTCTAATTCCTAGATCCTTGGTCCGCTTTGAGTTGAATTTTGTGCATGGTGAGAGATAGGGGCTTAATTTAATTTTGTTGCATATTGATTTCCAGTTTTCCCAGCACCATTTTTTGAAGAGGCTGTCTTTTCTCCAACATATGTTTTTAGAGCCTTTGTCTAGTATGAGATAACTGTATTTATGTGGGTTTGTCTCTATGTCCTCTATTCTGTACCATTGGTCTAGCAGTCTATTTTGGTGCCAATACCATGCCATTTTTGTTACTGTTGCTCTGTAGTATAGTTCAAGGTCTGGTGTTGTGATGTCACCTGCTTCACTTTTCTTGCTAAGGATTGCTTTGGCTATTTTGGGTCTTTTATTTTTCCAGATGAATTTCATGATTGCCTTTTCTATTTCTATGAGAAATGTCATTGGGGTTTTGATTGGAATTGCATTAAATCTGTATAGTGCTTTTGGTAGAATTGTCATTTTGACAATATCAATTCTGCCTAACCAAGAACAAGGGAGAGCTTTTCATCTTCTAAGTTCTTCTTTAATTTCTTTCTTTAGCCTTCTGTAGTTTTCATTGTAGAGGTCTTTTACCTCTTTTGTTAAGTTGAGAATCTCTGAGTTTTAAAATTGGCCCAGTCACTGAAAAGATGTGTGAGGTTTCATTTGTTCAGTTATTTAATGACAATATTGAGTAGCTGCCAGAGGCCAGGGGCTGGTCTAGGCACCTGGCAGATAAACAATCAAGTGAGACATGGATCCTCTGTGAGAAGCCAGTGGGGAGGGAAATAGAAAAGAAAACAGGAACTGCAAATGATTATAACACAATGTAAACCCAACGGAACACACACTGTATCATTCCGTTAATATAAAGTAAATTCTTAGTGGTAGAGTCAAGGTAGGGGTTTATGTGGAAGAAGAGGGGCTGTGAGGTAGGTTTTCTGAGGCTTCCTAAGACTTCTTGATATGTGTGTGTTGGTTACACAAGTGTGATCCATTTATGATAATTTATTGAGGTCTCAAAAAAATAAGTGTACAAAAATATAATTTATGTTCTTTGTTATATGCATGGTATTCTTCAATTAAACCTCTCTAAAATAAGGACAGTCACGAAGAGTATTATTTGTACAGGCAGGAAATTAAACTGATTATGTATGATAAAGTACTATTTAATTAAAATATATATAATATAATCCATTATGCAGGACATTCTATAAGACAACTCAGCTATGTCCAGAAAACCTCATTAATTTGATAAGTAATTCATTCATATCACAATTTTTCTGCATATCTTCTCACTGATATTAAAATGTTACACTTAAGTTTTTTATGTTTGATGAATGACTAAAGAATAATTGAGTTCTGAATCAATCATGCCAACCAATCAGTAAGCATTTATTGAACAACTACTTTGAAATCATCTGTTGGGTGCTGTGGGAGCACACACCAAAAATAGAGTAGCATCTCTGCCTCAAGGAACTTCATTATTTTGAGGAAGACTTGAGTGGGAATACACACAGCAACCAAGGTACAGTCAAAGACTGCTAGGATTTCTGGAAAAAGAAAGAGAATTGAAAGTAACTTGCCTAGAAAAAGGCTGTGGAGGAGCTGGAGGGAAGAGCAAAGAGTAACTTCTATTCCTGCCCACCAATATTGATTTATGTGTGTACTCCTTTGATTGCCCTTATCAAAGTCTGAATGTCTTTAAAATGCAAGACAGTGGGGCAGATCAGCAGGGGACATTTCTTGTCATGTAGGATAAGAATTTAAGCAGGTGCCACAGGTGAAGTGGTGGATGAGTAGGTGAAGGTCAGGTGGAATGTTGTGACCAGCAGTGATAAGCCATGCAGGAGCCAGGGCTGAAATGTTAGAAGTAGCTGTTAAGCAGTTCTATCAGAACCTAAAGCAAAGTCAAAACAAGAAGCGAATTTAGCTATTGAGGTTCACTCAAGACCATCAAGGTTAATTCCCAGGGACGCCAATGTCTCCTAAAAGGAAAATTTTCCTAATACAGTATAGTCTAAGACTGCTAGGAAAATTTTCCTAATGCTAACTATAGGGTTTGCTAGGTAAAGTCTAGTACTTCTGTGCCAGGAGCTCTTCCTTCTTCTCCAGCTCCATTCACGGGCCACGTCTCTGTTTGGTGCTGTGGCCTTCACATGTATACAGCTTTATTGACTCCATTGACTCTCTTTCCTCCATAAGATACCAGGACCCACAGAATCTTCCCTCTCATCTGAAATTTGGGTTTTGGGCTGAGAGTTGGGACAGGACCTTGACACTCAAAGTGTTTTTATAGACTGTTTTGATAGTGATAGACCCAACCTGATCTTTTATTAAAATTGGGAGCCATCTTGCCACAAAGCCATGAAAAGATAATTTTGGCTTTACTATAAATTACTGCAAATTCTGAACCTGCTTGGAATGCCTGCCAGTGCCTTGAACTCACCCATGCCTGACTCTCTGACCAGATAGCAGCCCTCTCTGAAACTTAGTGACACCTCATAAATATTGGCCTTAGCTGGCCAGACAACGACCCTCTCTGAGGCTCTAATGGTCCTCATAAATTCTGATGTTGGGGCCAGCAAAAAAAAAAAATGTAAACTACCATTAGTGTGATGCTTGTCAGAGTTCTGTTATCTGTAACCCCCCTTTGTGTAACTTTCTGGGCTATAAAGCTGGGCTGTAGGAAAGGTGGGGTGCTGTCTTGTTCCCGCCGTTTTGGGAGGGAGAAGCAGCCCGGCTGGTAGAAATAATAAGCTTGCTTTAATTTGATTTTAATTGGAGTCAGTGGTCTTTTCTTGCGTCCTGTTCTAACAATAGAGGTGGTGTTTATGATGTGGGAAAAATTGGGGCCAATTTTTCTTAAAACGTTAGTCATTTTGAATAATTAATTTTCCCACTTCTATGGGGTCATCTTTAAAGGAATTTTAAAAAGAAATACCATTTCTTTATAGTTATATCTTAAGAAGTTAGAACTGGAGTAAGATTAATGCGGAGAGAATTCCTATTTCAATATATTCATTAATTATAGAATTTCTACTATACTTCCAAACACCGCTCTCTCTCTCTCTCTCTCTCACACCCTGGCAGTTTAGAGAGCTCATAGTGACTAATCCATTCAGTATTGCCGGTTCTGTCTTAGAAAAGTGTGAGACAGCGTCTTTAAGTCTTCAGAGGTAGTAGAAATAATTTGCTTCCAAGACACTCTGTTATCTCAGGGCCCCACATCAAAGAAGTTTGTACAGATCTCTGCCTGCTGAAGTAGCTATCTCCTCATTCCTATCTGGCAGACTCAGACGATGTTTGCCCTTAGAATGATAACTTGACATATCAACACTCTGCAGAACCTGGTCTGGTCTGGGAAGAAAGGATTTGTGTTTATGCATATTGTCTCAATGAGTATGTCTTTTGGTATGTAAATGAAGATTCACACCCCTAGTTCCTCTTTGTAAACCATTTCTTTCTTCCTCAGCAGTCTTATGACAAAAAATTCCTTTATTTTTCAGATAATTTTATTATTTTTT